TCAATTCCCACCGTGTTTATATCAGAGGACAGAGACACAAGCGGCCGTTTTATATTTCTTTTATAAAATTTTTCGAGCGAAAAGACAATCYTGCCGGTAAGCCGTGTCTCTGTTTTCTGATATAAACACGGTCGTCAGCCAATCAGAGCGCGCGTTATATATCAAAAATTTTATAACATCAATTRTAGAACAAAGAGAACCCGGGGGGACTCTCTCGTATTCAGGGTGGGGCTGATCGTCGGAAATTYAAAAAAGATACCAGGCTCTAACAAAATAAGGGCGTGACAAAACAATATTTTTACTTCTAATCTTTTGTTGTTGTTGCCAATTAAAATGTGTGAGCTGAGTTATGTCTCTAAGTGTCTTAAAAGAGGACAGACTAAAAGTTACCAAATCCATAATTTTTTAGCCCTAAAAGATACAAGCATCATCCCATGTATGGTAGCACCTCGGGGATGAGAATTAAAGATAGCTCGTTTCATGGCAATACAGCCAATGTTGTCATTTTCTACTGTCTTTTGATTCTTAAAATGAATTAAATTAAGCAAATCCATTATTTAAAGGTCTACGTACATCACCTGAAAGTCCCACAATGCTTATCGGTCACAGATTAAGGATTCAGTTTTGATTCAATTTATTCTGTYTTTAAAATTGTGGAATGATGTTTACTGTTATTGTGTCATTCAGAACGAAGATGGTAAGTTATCGATGGAAGAATTCAGGGAAGGTTCCAAGGCAGATCCATCCATCATACAAGCATTGTCTCTCTACGATGGTCTTGTATAAGCTTTGCTTTCTTTATTTCCTTAACCCCGTGCAGTTTTGTATTGCTTGGAAGAGACAGCAAGTTCAATGAAGATTGACAATGGATTCGTTTCAAGGCAGCATTCTGATATATAAAGGTTTACATTTCTACGTGAATCATTTACATGCTATTGACTTGAAAGATGCAACACAAGACATAGCCGAGTTATGCAAAGAGCGATGCAACATCAAAAACAATCTTAAAAATTTATTTGAAGGCCTTCTTGATGATAATGGCTTCAACTTGTTTAACTTTGTACCGGAAAGGTTAACAATATTGTAAAGAATGGAGGTCAAAACCGAACGATTACGAACTTATCGGGTCTTCATGTTAATTTCTGCTATGGAAACAAATGATGAAGCAAACTAAACAAATAATGCAATAATTAATTATTTAGAAAAAGTAAATTCCATTTARTGCTATTAAGAAAGATGATGGCAAAGAATGATGGGATAGTATACCCATGATGCACTGCATCATTGTATATTGCTAATTCAGAAAAGCTTGTGGAAGCCTTAAGGCGCGTTTGCACTTGCGATTTTCGGAAGCGTGATTGTCGTGCGCGCTCTTAGTGAAACGCGGGTTCAACATGTACGGTATCAAGAGAGAACTCTAGAGTTAGTCATTAAACCCTTGAAATAAAACTTGACTAGTGTGATAGTCAAATTTATACACAAAATAAAACAATGCACAGTGTGCGCTCTATGTGTTATGTCAATATTTCATGGGTTTTTTGACTTCACTGTATTATTTGAGATTCGTTTTGGGCCCCGGTATGCCTATTGTACTAAGGAATAGTTAAGTAGGASCCAACCCCCGAGTCAAAATTCTACGTCATCAATAGAACAAGACCATTCCCCTCGTCTTCACAGGATGTTCAGTATTGGTACAAAAAGTTCCGAATTATTGTTAAAACTTAAGTCTAATGAACATTCAGCTTGAATTTGAATTATCCCAATATGAATAAATAAAGATTAAAAAAACATTTTTTATATTTGGTGTCGTAGTTGTTTTCTTATTGTTTGAGATGTCATTCGAAATACCGTCACTCTGAAACCATGAAAACCGATGAAAACCCCTATTGAACGGTTGTAGAAAGACCCACAATGCATTTCTCGCTCTTTAAATATTAGGCGTATACGCCACAGGTAACCCAAGCTCAATAAATAAGTATAAATACTACTAATACGTATTAGTATAAGTAGGATAAACAAAGTCATATAAAAAACAACGTAAATCCTCTAAATATCGAAATATTTCAAACCAGGAAGGAGAAAGAGGTTTATTTATGATATAATAAAATGATTTA